GGAAGTTGAAAGGCGGGACCTAGGAAATAGGAGAAAGGAGAATAGGAATGTGATCATTGAAGGTGGTCCAGAATTGGCATGGAAAGGGTTGGGTGCGCATGTCAAAGTAAGTGAGACGGGTTGAATTAAGATGGATGAAGCCAGTGTTAGAAAAAGTGTTCCAGGGAACGGACTCGGGAAGTTGTGGTAGAGTTGTCCCAAAGAGTGTGGCGACAGTTGAAGTAATCGACTATGAGGAATGGTGGTTGAAATTGAGAAAGTAAAGTTTCAAAGATGTTGAAGTCAATGGGAAGAGGAGAAAACTAAATTGAAACAATTGTGACCAACCGCGAAGAAAGATGCATATAATTGTGCAAGGAACAGTGGTTTGAATGGCAGGTATCATGTATTTTTTATTTTGATGGGCGAGTATAAAGGAGATAGAGAAAGAGTGAGGGGATGATACAAAATAATTTGGAATCGGTACAGGAAGATGTGTTAGGAAGGTTTCTTAGAGATATGATGAATGGGTTGTAGGAAGATAGGAAGCTATGAAGATTAAGTCTGTGAGAACATAAACCTTGAATGTTCCACTGTAGAAGTGTCTTTGTGGAACAGTGACCGGGTGATAAGGGTAGAGATGGATGTCTGAGAAGTAGGAGGAGGATTACAAGGGAATTGATGTAGAGGATCAGAGGAGGGAGGTGAAGGTGTAGTATCAAGAGGTTCTTCAGGGAAGGTGGGATCCGGGAAGGACATGGCGTTGGGTGGGAAGGTTTGGGAAATGAAGGATTTTCATGACGCGATAGGCATCTGAGACGTACAGGGTGTGGTAGGAGATGGGGTAGAAGCTTTGGATTGTGTGATGCAATAGGTAAGGCGAGGAGTAGGGAGAGACATGGGGGGAATTATGGATGTTAGAGTGTCTGGATTTAGAATGAAAAAAGGATATGATTGGGAGATAAGGGAAGTATAGGTGGAAAGGTGAGGAGAAGGGAAAGTGGTATTGAGGAAGATGTAGAGACTACTTGGGTAGAGGGGATAGGAGTGGAGTGAAGGATGGTATTGGAGGTGGGATTCCCCCCAATCCCTTGCCTGTTGTTGGCGTGGGTGGCTTAGGAGGCAAGAACTGGGACTCAATGCTGGGGATTTCCCCTGCCTTGGGCCTCAGCCCTCGACTCAACTAATTTTGCACGGTCTTTTTCCCCTACTGCTTATTCGTTTCCGTCCCTTCTCCAACCCCTTCAACTATCCACTTCCTAAGGTGTGAGAGCCGTGCTGAAAGGATGAAAGGCTGACTTTGTGCCAGTCCTGAACGGCCTGAGGGAGCCATTGGCACGGTATTCCCTTGTTTTAGTTGTCTAGCCCTTACCCCTCTAGGGGACCCCGAGGGGTGGACTGTTTCTCTCTCCAACATACTCTATGTTTACCATGGCCAATAATGAAGATGTTATACCCTTGCTAGGGGCAATTAGATTTTCCCCTTCATCAAATAACCCTACCAACTCAAACTCTACCTGTTCCCCGACCCCATGCTCTCCTTTGATCACGACTGTAAACACTGCAACTACTGCCCCCTCCTCAGTGTCTGTTAATACATTATCCACCCAAGTCAACACTTAAGCTCCAGGAGACATTTCAACTTCATCACCTCTACCCCCACAACCTTCTTCATCAATCACCCCATCCTCCCTTATTACCACTTTACAGCCTTATTGTCTACCTCTCCGTAATACCTCCCTCAACAGTACTCCCTCTTCCACACGCCCCCGTTCTTCTACCACCCCATCTCTACAAATATCTTAAATACTCTTATTTAGCCCAGCTAAATGGGACTGATTTTTCGTGACAACACTCTTCTCTCCCAGCAGTGTCTCCAAAAATAAGTAGGCAAAGTCTCATTCCGTAGCCGATCCGTTCGTTCTCGTCTCGTCACAGTTACATCTGAAAACCATGCTATAACATTATTAACTCTGACTGATTTTTGTGGCTACCCCATTCCTGTAGAACCTCATCCTACCCTCAGTACTTGTACTGGTACTGACTCTATCCCCCAGCAAACTGTCCTATTTATAACAAAAATTGTTCAGACTGTGGAGAAGACTTACTCACCTGCCTCACGGACTATGATGCGATATCAATACAGTGCTACTCCATTCCTCCTAAAGATTATAGTAAGAACCCCACCAACATTGCCAAAATTACTTTCCGTAGGCATTTCGCTTTGATGTTTACATTGGTGGAGAATCCCTTCCTGCCCGACCATATCAACCTCCTCCCCGTCAGTGTCGAAATTGTTGCCGCACCAAAGCCCGATGCCCTCTATGTGCCCAACCTGGCCATAACCGATCAAACTGCTCTACACAGTCACGCACATGTGCCAACTGTGGCGACCCCCGTAATGCATTTCATAGGGGCTTCCCCACCTACAAGCTTGAGTGAGACCAGACGAGACCAGACTTGGTCTCACTCTGCATGAAGCCAGACAGGAAGCACATCGACGAGGATTTTCTCTTACTCCCCCTCCAGTAATATCGCTCGCTCTGCCCCTCCCCCTTCCTCCCAAGATGTTCCTACACCTTCCCCTATACCTATCCCTCCTACATCTTACTTCCCCACTTCTACCTCCTACCTTCCTCAGTCAAATTTTTTTGCCATTCTAAATCCAGACACCCCAATCTCTACCTCAGCCGCCAACACCTTCTTCTCTTTTACCTTTTCAGTATCAACTAGATAGTTGATATAGCAACTAACTACTAACTCAACCGCCCTTCACTATCCTTTACTGTACCTTTCTACAGTGCTACATGACCTTAGATATCTAGTACATTTATTTTGTTTTTAACCATTAACCAACCATTGGAGTAGGGATTGAAAAACCTTGTCGGCGTACTTCCTGTCTGGCCTTTCGTAGAGTGAAGCCAAGTTTGTATCTGAGAACTGCTACCCCATACGCAAACTTGTAAGCAGAGCAGCTCCTATAAAATACATTATGGGAGCCACCGCAACTGGCACAGATACATGATTGTGCAGGAAAGTTTAAACGGTCATGACCAAGCCAGCGAGCTGTTGAAGCAACAGTGCTTTGCAGGGTGGCCAAAACGCCAGTATTTTGGACATGGTCTGATATGCCCATGTCGTATGGCAAGATTCTCCTATATAGACTTTATGATCATGTCTGCAGAAGGTAATCTTGGCAATATTGATGTGGGACTTTGAGTGTAGAAGGAATGGGAGTAGAAAGATTGGAGGATGGATGAAGTGTAGGCATGTTATCTTGGGTCATGATTAGATAGTTTTGAATGTCTTCGAGAGTCTCATGCAGTGGATTCGGTTGGGGAGGTCTGAGAAACAAAGGTTTTCTTATGGGGGAGAAGAGGGGACAGATGTTTGAGGGGTGGAGGGAGAGGTTGATGGAGAGGATGGGGTAGAATATGGGATGGAACGTTTAGCTTGCCTTGTCCAATGCGTTGGGCGAGGTGGAAGAGTGGTGGAGATTGGGGAGCCTGAATTTAAAATGGTAAAAGTGGTAGGGGGTAGAAGAAGGATAAGGAAGTGCTGGGGAAGATGTAGAAAGCTCTTGGGAGGAAAGGGGAGGAGCAGAGCAATTATTGGGGTAGGGAGAGAGAGTCAAACCTCGTCGACATGCTTCCTGTGAGTGAGGCCAAGTTTGCATCTGAGACTTGCCACTTCAGATTAAAACTTGAAGGTAGGGCAGCCCCTGTAAAATACGTTACGGGAGCCGCCATAATTGGCACGTGTGTGATTGTGCAGAGCAGTTTGATCGATTATAACCAGGATGGGTATAGAAAGGCTGTGGAACGGTAGTATTTAGCAGGACGGCCTGGACGCCAACAATCTGACAGTGACGGGGGAGGTTGATAGGGTCGGACAGGGAGGAAAGTAACTTTGGCTATATTGGTGGGGAACCTATGACGGCCGTTAGGGTGGATGGTGTAACACTGTACTGATACTGCATCATAAACCATGAGGCAGACACGTAAGTCTTCTCCACAATATGACCAATTTTTGTCGTAGACAGGGCACTTTGTTGGGGAGATGGAGACAGTTCCGGTGTAAGCATTGAGGGAAGGTTGAAGTTGGGCATAAATGGCTTTGCAAGTGAAGTCAGTTAGGGTTGAAAATACTATAGCTTGGGATTCGGATGTAAATGTGGCAAGGCGAGAATGACTGGGGCGCCACCAAAAGGAAACTTTGCCTACTTGTTTTTGGAGGCATTGCTGGAAGAGGAGAGAGTTGTGAGAATAAGGGACTGAGGAGGGATTTCGAAAAATTGATCTCATTTGGCTAGGATAAACAGAATATTCAATATATTTTGTAGAGGAGGGGGTAGTAGAAGAACGGGGACGTGTGGAAGAGTGAGTAGTGTTGAGAGAGTACTGCTGAGTGGTGGACAATAACGTTGCAGAGTAGCACTAGGGGAGGATCGGGTAGTTGATGAAGAAAGTTCTGGGGGGGGGGGGGGGGGGGATATGAAGTAGGAGAGGAGGAATGTTACCTGGAGATTGACTATTGACCTGGATGGATATGATAGACTGGGATGATGTGATAGTAGGTACTGAGGAGGGGGTAGTAGTAGCAGTGTTCAGTCGTGGTCAAAGGATCGCGGAACCGGAATTGAAATCAATGGGGCTATTTGATAAAGGGTTATGCCTCAATACCCCTATTAATGGAAATAAAGTCTTCATTACTGGCCATGGTAAGGCTAGGATATGTTGGTGATGGAAAAAGTCCATCCCTCAGGGTTCCCTTGAGGGCAATGGCTAAACAATAGGGGAATGCCGTACCCATGACTCCCTCAGGTCGTTCATGACTGGCACAAAGTCAGTCTTTCAATCCTTTCAACACGGCTCTCACACCTTAGGAAGTGGATAGTTGAAGGGGTTGGAGATGAAACGGAAACGAAAAAGGGAAGGAGAAAAGAGGTTCCAGTATCCGTCTCCTAAGCCCCTTTACGGCAAAAACTGCATGGTATTGGGGGTGCAACATAGAAAGGTAGATTTGTTGATAAAGATTTATTACCATAATCCACACAACTAGGTAGCAATAACATTTTAAAAAGTAAATGCAATACATTATTCCTGATATTATCAAAATAGAGATACACAGAAATACGCAACAAAACAGATTATATATATAATATATTCTTCTCTTTATCTCACTTCCTTCTCTTCACTTACCTTATTCTACTGAAAGACACAAAGGTAATAATTTGTGAATGTAAACTGTTATTTCTCATACACTTCTTTCAATCATAAATGCTTCATTTAAATGCTAACTTTTTCATTATATCTTCATAGTAACTGTGGCAAGAAATAAAGTCACCTACTTTGCCCTTCAAGAGAATTGGATTAAAAATACTCTTTCCCAAGGGACAAGCTTCAAATCTTACTTAGTCTAGGAGTTACAAGAAAAATCAAGACCAAAATGTGATTTCTCTTCCCTGAAACTGACCCCAGAATCACCAGTAGAACACAACTGTTATTTTGTAAGAGCAGTAATTTTTAATAGATTTTCATTAGTCAATCCATTTACAGACATTTTGAGTGTAAGATTTTTTTTTCCTCCTTAATATTCATCAGGAGATTTGTGAAAAGCATTATCATATTCAACTCTACTTTATACTTTTTTGTCACAAGAACACAAAAATAAGATATAAGTACTATAAAAAATCACACTGAAAGCAGTATTATCTAGTAAATTATCACAAACAAAAATACAAATTTGAATACAAAAAGTACTCTTGCTAAGTCCACAAAAAAACTTATCTTAAATGCATCACTTCTATCTTCCTCATTCATATGTCGCTTCTTTAAAAGGGTAAAAATGCAGAAGTGTAAAATATACTCTTGATATTCCTTGAACTATGAAGACCAACATTTATTTCGCTATATAATTTTGATTTGCTTGTTCTGGAAGAAATTTACACGAAGGTTTGCACTGAGAAAACAAAGCAATATAATTTTGTAATATTTTCTGCACATTGGCATTACCTACACCATCTCTTTGTGCTTAGATATGACCCCTTTGAGCAATTCGTTACGCTTATGGAAACTTTCACAATGCAATGTAATAATGCATTCTAATATCCATGACTAAATTACCTTTATGTAGTCTACTATCTCTCATTGTTCAGCTTTTAACTTCTCCTGGTCAATATAGGATTTACTATTTTTTTCGGTACATTGCAACACACATATAATACTGTTTCACCTTATCCAAAACCATTCAGTGCTCACAAAAAAAAAAAACTGTAGAAAGTACAAACTACTCTAACTATGCAGGCCAAGAGTTAGCACCTTTCATTATAGTCTCTCAATCATTTCACTGTTTGGCAGAGGGTACGAAGTGTCCGTGGAGTGGCATAGGCACTGTAGCTCGAGACTGCACTGTTGCTCTGCACAATTCGGTCATATTCCCTGCATCGAGAATCAGCAAGTACGCTTTCTTTTCATCAATGGAATCTATACACTGTAGTAGAATTACTCCGTCATCTTCCTCCTGTAAAAATAATTTATGCATTATGCGACTGCGCACACGTATTACTGGCAATATTTCCTTAAAACTCTTCTAACATTTCACATCAGCTGCTGAGATACACGTTTACTCACAACAGCATCCGGTCTGCTAATGAACTCTGGAGCAGCGCAGTATATATGCTCCTCAGAGAATTTCCAGGTCTCTCCAGAAGTTACATCTAACTTCATGACCTGCGAAAATACATGCATCATTTACAATTCACATATATAAATTGATTCAATAAGTGAAGTACAAACGGTAGAGGAATACAGTATGAATGTATGCACAACTAGCATCAGTGTGTTGCATAGACATAAAGCCTTCAAGTTCAAAATTTCCAATTTTCGGAACTTACAAATCCTGAATCTCCGCCATCCGGACTTGGCCCCATGGCCCAGAGGTACTTGTGCTTTGAGGCCATCTTCTTCGGGTTAATGCAAGGATTCTCGATCGGAAACTCGGTAAGTTTCTCGCTTGTTAACCTGATCTGTTGGGGAGAAGTGCTGGTTTAGGAAGTTTTTTTGTTTTTTTATTAAAGTATCGTTTGTAAAAACACTAACTTTCTTTGCTTCAGAGCCTTGATTTCTGTCTGAAATGTATTTGTCTACTTTGTT